CAGATGTATGTTCACTAAAAGTGGTTAGAATCTTTTGAAAATAACCTAAAAATTAAGGTATTTTATAGATCTAATTCTTGCATTCTTAAGGATTTTTTTGCTATCACTATTTTTATCATTTCCTCCCTTTATTTTCTGCAACTCTAGTACTTAATGAAATGAACATCTTAATTTTTTGTGTGTTGTGCTTAGGTCATGACAATAAGAAAGTTTTATTGAACCTTATATTTTTCGTGGGAATTCCTTAAATGAGGGGATATTCAGGTTGTGAGAGGTCTATAATGGTATACCTCTATATTATCTGGGCTAAATCGCCTACAGTTAAAACCTTAGTTCGATTAGATAGTTGGTTAAAGAGGGATTTCTAACTTCATACCACAAGATCCAGCTATAGCTTCATATGTGGAAAAAGTACAAAAAGCCTCCTCAACTTCGATAATAGAAACTTGATGGGAACAACTTTCAAATAAGCTGTGTCACTAGCAACCCCAACCCTCATAAATAATTCTGAGTTAATTAAATTTTAAACTTTGTTTTCTACATCTAATGAGTTTTGACTTTTTTTGTCGGTAAGTTATTAAATTTGCATAGCTATTGATTTTTAGATATTGTGTCTTAGTTGATAAATTTTAGATGCTTAAATTTTACATAAAGTTAGATTTCCTTTATATCAATATTTGATTTAATCTTCTGGAGCTTTAATTTAGTTCTGTAAGACTACTATTTTTAACCATTACTTTAATATTATTTTAGTTCTTAAAGTAATTTAAAAATTTCGATAAGATTTTTGTTATAGATAATCACAGTTTTATACAGCAGTTTAATTCCAGACATTAAGATGTGAATAAATTCTATTGAAGAATTTCTCTTAATTAAAAAAACCATTAACATATTGATTTCTATTTGAAAAATTAAATATCCAAATTAGTTTATATGGAACAAACCCATCGAAATTTTTCTTGGAACAAAAAATTAAAATACGTAATCTTCCTTAAGTTTAGAAGAAATAGTCTGGTTCCCTTGAAAATAAACATGTTATCAATATTTAGTTCTAAAATATAATGAAAAATTTAGTTCATAAGCATCATTCAACCTTGAAGATTGATAATCTTTGGCTTAATTTAAGTATAATTGAGTAAACCATTTTTAATTTCAGAATACTCAATATCATAATAGCATTAATAGTGCCCAAAGATAATAATTATTATCAAAAATAAGTATATTTCTTTTAGAAAAAATTTAATTAACATGATGAATAACAGTATACTTTTACCAATTTGTTCTTGCTAAACTATCAAATAATATAATCAGAATTAATGAGAAATCTAAATCAAAAAAGCCTACTCATCATAATTTACAGTTAGGAATATGAAAAAGTTATAAATAATTGCAACTCAGGAATGCAATACACATTGAGGTTTATATTAATAAATCAATTTGCCCATCTAAATTGATGTATTCTAGCTTTAATTTCAATTTTTGAAGGAAGGAGTCTTGCAGATACAAATTTATATTAATTTGAGATTTTAATATCCTAAATTCATAGAAATATTAAAAATAATAATTTAATAGAATTAGAATAATGTAGAGAGAATAAATGTAAAATAGAGAGTTAGAACCTTTATTCAAAGAATTAGAGATGGATGTAGATGTATTAATTTAATATTAGAATCATTTTAGGTTTGCTTTGATAAAATGAATAATTTGATTGAGTAAATATTCATTAGTGATTGTCCAATTTCTAAGATTAATAATCCTAAATTTGAGTATTCTTTGCCAAAACTTGATTAATTCAATTTCATAGGTTAACCCATCTTTTAATCAAACATTCTTTAATAACTTAAACCATTAATCAGTTCAACAATCAAACATCAAATTTAATTATAATCAGATTAATAACATTCAAATAAATAATAACAATAATAGATAATATCAATTCAATCTCCATCCTCTTAATTTCATTCAAAACCATTTGTTTATTAAATAATTCAACATAATTCAATTAAGTAAGACTAAAATTGTCGTGTAATTGCAATTAATAAAGATAGTTCAATTGTAGCAGTTGGTTGTTAAAATGAAATAAAAATATATGAATTCAAATAAGGAATCATGAAACAAATACAAATCTTAAATCAACATAAAAATAATGTATCGACTATAAATTTCATGAATAAATCAAATTAGTTAATATCTGGAGATAATGGTGGATCAATTGTAATTTGGTCAAGCTATAACAATAATTAATGGAATTCCTCATAAATAATTAAAGGACATAGTA